CATTAAACTAATACTGGCTCCTAAATCACATAATGCATTTTTTATGTATTTGTTACCAATATTGAATGGAATAGTAAAACTCCCTGAATCTTTTAATTTTGGTGGTAACTTATGTTGAAGTATTGCGCTGCATTCTTCGTTCAGCATCACCATTTCGTGATCCTCTAGCTTTCTTTTATTTAAGCTAAGGCTTCTACAAATGGTATGTTGATGTGTAACTTTTTGAATACCTCCAAAAACTTTGCAAGTTTATAAGCTTGTGTTTTTGCAGGCTTTGCAAAAATGGGACCGGAGGTACGTATGGTTTGACAGGAACAGTTGCCTTAACTTGTGGAGTGTCTGCTATAGCTTTCTGTGTCACTGTTGTTTTATGTGACTGATCTACATGCTCCTCGCCCGTGACATATACCTCTTTTGTAGTCGCAGCTGGTCTTTTTATTGTTATTTCCAACAATTGAACTCCATTTCGAGTAGTGATGGCTTGTACATGTTCGTTAGGATTTATCTTTGTGTTTCTTAGTAAGGTTCATTGAGTTCCCTCCGCTAATACAGCTGCCATCTGACCCATCTGAGTTTTCAAGTTTTTAATTGTAGCCTGCTGGTTTTAAATAATTGCCTGTTGATTTTGAAAATTAGTCTCACTTTTAGTGATGAACTGCGTTAATAATTCCTCCATTGATGGCTTCCTTTTTTTGTTGTTGCTGTTGTTGGAATCCTGGTGGTCTTGCCTGAAAATTTCTTCATTGTCCTTGACTTTGATTGCTAGCCTAGGAGAAATTTAGATAATTCTGAAAATTTTGCGCATAATTAACCTCTTCAGGCTGGAGTACATGTGTGGAGGTTAAATGACATCTTTCTGTAGTATGATTAGTTCCACAACCTTTGCAAACCGATTTCGATTGGTGTACCATGTTCACATTTTGAGTAAGGCTGTCTAACCTCATTGTCAATGCTTCCATTTGGACTGCTAATGATGTAGCTATGTCAACGTTGTGTACTCCTATTCTTTTTCTCGACACTTCCCTATCTATTGGCCACATAGATTGATTCTCTACAATTCTCTCGAATAGGTCCAAGGCATTGTCTAATGGGATATCCAGTATTGACTCACTTGCTGAAGCATCGACTATGTTGCGAAATTTAGGTTTCAAACCTGAATAGAATACACAGATCTTGGAGTCTTTAGGAATGTTCAGATTAGGGCACTTCTTGAAGTAATCTTTGAATATTTCCCAAGCTTTTGGATGACTCTCGAGTTCTCTTTGCTTGAAAGTATGGACTTCATTTTAGAGTTGATGGACTCGAGAAGGTGGGAAGAATTTCAAAGTGAATTTTTGCATTATATCATTCCATGAAACAATGCTCCTAGGGATTAGTGAGTTTAGCCAATCTCGTGCTCCGTCCTTTAAGGTGTGAGGGAATAAGCGCAGTCGAAAAACGTCAGCAGACATGCCTTCGTGGCTAATCATATCGTACATCATCAAGAAGGTTTGGATATGTTAATGAGGATTCTCAGTTGACAAGTAATACGTGATGAGTTAAGAGTTATCATCCATCAGGGAATAAATTTCAATCAAATGTATTAGTTTTTATTCAGATTCAAAGTGAGCAAACAAAATAGAATTGTGGTTGACAATTATTCTAAATTATTCTACGAAAACTTGTAAAATTCGAGTTTTGTATTTATATGGAATGAATGTATTGGATTATGAATCCACCTATTATTATCTATTTCAGTTCTCAACTATATAGTTAGTATCATTCATGCATTCTTGACAATTAATAAATCTATTATAATTAATTCTCTTTTTCAAGACAAATTAAATATATTCCAATCACGACCCGAATCTATTTCTAATTTGAATTCGAATGAATAGAACACATTAAAGTTTAGATTATCTCAAAAATTGCACACATAATAAATATTATTCCTAATATCTATCGTATGCGTGTTTATCAAGCAATGTTCTATACCTATTGTGAGTCTCCCAACACTACAAAAAATAACTATATATTTAATTAATGATCAAGTAATCAAATAATAAAATTATGCATGCAAGATTAAGAAAAAAAAAAAGAAATTAACTAACTACTTGTCTTGAATTAAAAATAAATAACAACAGGTTTTATCTTCATCCAATACATGAAAATACTTAGCCTAGCATATTGTTATATAAATTACACAAAAAGTTATAGAAACATCACCCGGAATGGAAAACAATGAATTGAAAGTGAAAAATCAATTTATTCTTCGTAAATCTTCAACTCGAATTTTGAATCTTCAATCTCTTGTGTTAATTGCTCTTGAATCTTGTACTAGCCTCTTTCTTGTGGTCAAAATTAGGATTTAATATGTTGTATATCTTCTTCACGCCGTCCTCTCTCTAGAAAATATGTTAAATTTGATTTTTATAAGAATTCGAATGAAACAAGGAATTTGGGCCGTTCAAGCCCAGAAATGGCCTGTGCGCGCGCCGTTCATTGGTTTTAGGTTCGGTAAGTAAAATTCATGCCCGTGCACGCATGAGAGAATTTGCCTGCCCACGGGCGCCATTATAAAATTTTCCATTTGTTGCACTTTGGTCCCCGAATTTCATTCCTTGATTATTTTGGTTCCTTCTTCGTATTTGCTTGATCCTCCATCTTTCAAATCCATCTAATTTACTCCAACATTTTTTCAATCATCGATACTAGGTCCGAATTATCTATTAGTATTTTGCGATTCAGTCCTCAAACTTTGGATTATGTCCACTTTAACCAATTTTCTGCTCCATTTCTTCAATTTCATTGTTTTTCATCGAGTTGCATCTAGCAAACAAAATATATACGAAATTAAGCCTCAATAATAATTGCTCTAGTTTAACGGTACGGATAAGTATATAAAATACATTTATCAGAATACCACCCCTACCTATTGTAAATAATGGAAAAGGCCCTTGTTAGAAATCTTTTGTACGGAATATAATTGCTCACCGCTTTGTGTCAAGCGATGTTGAATGCAGGGTTTGGTGATTTTAAGCTTTAACCGTTCTGGGTTTTGAAAACTCACCACCAACTCTTAAAGCAACTTTGTGCTAGTCAATTTCTTGACTTTGTTGCTCATCGCTATGTGTCGAGCGGCGTCGAGACAGTAATGGAGATTTGTAGTCTTCATTTCAATCAATCACATACCAAGATCTCATTGTGGTTTTTAATTTGCCAAGGTTTGGGGATTGAGTATGCGCACCGGAACATCCCAGCTAGACTGGCCCTTCCTTAGCGCCCACATTATCTGCAGCCATCCAGACTTCTTCATTAAATAATTTCAATAAAGTATGCTTGTAGTAGGCATTACATCACGAATACCCTAGCTACTATATTTACAATAGACCATTACATCAGAAAAGAAAAGTAGAAAACCCATAACGATCTACTGATAATACTTCTTGAGATGCTCGGCGCTCCACGGCATGCCTAGTAGTTTTCCCTTCAAGTCCTTTAGACTGTAAGCTCCCTTTCCAAGGCTTCGGATCACCTCATACGGTCATTCCCACAGACGACGCCAATGAAATTGTATTGAGATAAATTTCAATGTTCTCCTTGACGAGGATGGTGTTCCGACTGCTTCGATCAGTGTTTACTACCTGCAAAATGAGGTCAGGGCTTTTCCCCCCGTTGTACCTCCAGCGTGAGAATTAGTTTTTGGTTTAAGAGAGTAAGAAGAAAATATATTGGAATTCAAACAGTTCGGGTTTCAAGAAAAATGCATTTTCTTACCTTGGAGATATTTATAGGCACTTGATGACACGTCCCCGTTCTATCATTAATCGTGCCACGTGTTCCACGTAAGCCTTCTCACTTTCCCCACGTTCTAACGTGGTGACCCCCACTCATTAAGCGGTTGGTTATGCACATGTTCGCTGTTGGGTGGTTTTCGTCCAACTCATTGCTATTTGTATGATTAAGTATAGTATTGGCCGCATGGTGGTAGGTGGCCATGTGTGAATGTAGAGGGCCTCATGGGAGTCAACGACCTTATAGTGGTAGACGACCTATGATGTGGTGCTCGTCAAGGGAGTGCATATTAAGTAGCCTGCCATCGTGGATAATTATTAATACCATCTTATTTTAAGTACCAATGCTCACTCTTATGTATCAAGTTGATGCCTCATTTCGTTGTCAAATTACTCTATATTTCCCTTCAAATTTGGACAATTCAATCGAAGAACTCTATCAACTATGAACAAAATGTCCCATAACGATATTTTAAGTACGATTCAATTAACTTTCCGGACTTCAGCATAAAGTCTCGTTGAGGGAGGTTAATGCCATTTAGGAGAATATTATTATTATTTTACTTAGCATAGTAAATTTGTAATTAAAAAATTCATATTAAATTCCCCGATAGTACCACTATGTTTTTTTTTGTTTTTTGTTTTTTTCTTGTTTTTAAGTTTATACGAGAAAACGTTGGATAATAAATCAGCAGACATGTGAAGGCTGGCCTCGAATTTTTATTCTTTAGCTACTAGTTTTATGGAGTGTTTAATATTTCATTTTTGTATTTTTTTTTTTGACTGGAGGTCGACCGGATGTCATCCTCCTAACTTGGTGAATTGTTTTTATTTTTCAGTTTTTTTGATTTTGCTATATAGAATTTTAGTAAATTTTGATAACCGCCTATAAAATGTTTGGCTGAAAAGTTGATAAAAATTGTGGTATCCTACAAAATGTGTCATTAAGATTAATTGTTGATTTTATCTTAAATTTTAATCAGCTAAACCACACATGGCAGGATGAATAAAAACACCACTCGTATATGCCTTGATATAGAAGTTAAACCAAATTGCAGAGAGAGCAAATATGCTAACAAACCAATATTTTGCAATGACAAACTAGAAAATCACACGTTAGAGTAAGAGATTTACAACGAGAAGATCTCAACTGTAAACAATTATTCCTTATCTCAATAAAGAAAACTCCAAACATTTAAACGAAATTAAAACATTGGACTTGAAATCTTAGGCACAAATGAAATCAGAGGGCAATTTCTTCCCACAAGTATTAATAAGAACACTCAATGCAATAGGAATGTTAAGGTTAATGCCAAGAATGTTTGCTTTCAATGCAGTGCAAAGGCAAACAGCAACTTCAAGGTCCAAAAGTCCACCTAGTACGGAGCAACACGGGTGGTCCGGTGGGTTCCCCACGACTGTTCCAATACTTCCATTGAGCAACTTTGCGCATACACCAAGTTTTAGGGCATCCCTAGGGCAGCTACCCATGGAAGGGTTTGGATTTGGACTAGGTTTTGGCATTGGACTGTTGCATCCATTGCCAAGAACAAAAAACATAAGGTTAAATACTACGAAAAGGGCAGCAGAAGACGGCATCTTGGAATCCATTGAACAAAAAAATGGACAATAATGTAACCCTAACTGCGTACTATGTTGCTCAACTAAGTTGCAAGGAAACGAGACCACTTGCGAACAAAATATTACCTTTTTTAGGCTGTGATAAGTGATGATTTGTTGAAGGGGTATTTATAGGGAGAAATGTAAGAAAATGTTGTATAACAAAACAGTAGGCATGTGAAGCAAGGCTGGCATGGAATTAGAAGAAGATATATTTAACTTTATTTTTAATTAATATAAGAATTGATCACAAGATCCACCAATAGCCAATGCAGTCCCGTGAGGCCATGACTGTATTTGGTACAGAAGTTTGTGTCTTTCTCATTCAACCAATGAAACATATGCCTTTGAAGTGTGATGAATTTTAACCTAGCACTGTTTTTTGAGCCATTAATGTTTTAGTTTTTATCAATGTTCAGTTTTCTTTGCAATATTTTCTTGTCTTCTTTTCCTCAGCTTTCATTTTTTTTTTTTAATGCTTCGTCTATCACTGCAATTCGGAAATTCCCTTTTGCGGAGTAGGGATATTTGTCCTAGACTCAATCGAAACGAAGCAATAAAGGAAGCAGAATGAAGGCAAAGGAACAAGGACAGTCTTGCTTCTTGAGCAGATATTTACCTTTGAATGTCAATATCTTATTTGATAATTTGTTGTTTAATTTGCAGCCAAAGACTCTCAAATGCTCACAAAAGACTACTTTTTGAAAAGAAATTCTTTTCACAACACTGCCACCTAAAGAAGTTGAAAAAGATTGATTTATGATATCAACTGTCATCCAAATCATTCAACACATGTCCAAAAGGTTGGCATGAGATATATAACTAATCCTTTCTTCAGTAGTTGTATATCCTATGTTACGATAAAGTTGCTCTAAATAAGGTGATCTTGGTCGAACTTTCTCAAGTCCGATCGATGAACTTTATAGTAGCTTTCAGATGAACCTATTTACTAAACACGCGAACTTTTTTTAACTGTTTTATCTGTTTTATATTTCAATATCGGCATCAAATGCTTTGAATACATCCAACAACACCTGATTTTATATATCAGTGCTAACACGCAAACTGTGTTTATTAATTATTAATCTAAACTATAAACTCAGTTGATTTGGTGATTTTTAAACTAAACTAAAACTAGACCAAAGCCTAAACCGAGCCCGAAGCTGAGCCTGGGCCCCTGCAAGGGCACATGCCCTAGGGATGCCTTAAAACTAGGGGCATGTGCTAATCTTCTTGGTGGATTGATTGGTGTTACCATTGGACACCACCAAAAACTCCATGCTGCTCCCTTATCGAAGGCCTCACAGACCTGGAGGCGGCAGTCTGCCTTTACACTGCCATTAAAGCCAATATTTTGGGCATTAACCTTAATGTTCCTCTTTCCCTTAGCTTGCTTCTTAATGTCTGCTCCATGAAGATTCCACCAGGCTTCAAATGTGCCTAGGCAACCCAATATCATAATATATCAAATATATTGAAACTAAAATCATAATATCTCTCTCTCAAGCTTATCCATTTATTCGGTAGGGGTTAAAATTTTCTCAATTATAAAATTCGACTTACTGCTGTGGCTCTTCGCATTTTGATTTCTTTAAGAATCCTTGATGCATAAATGTATACACATGCTGCATGATAAAATTTTATAGCCATCGTATACAATGCCTACATAAAAATCCAAAATAACAAAATAAGCAAAATAAAAAGAAAAAATATTCTTTGCCCGCCTCTTCATTAACTACGTACCCAATGGTAGTGAGATAGGTTCAATGAAGTATCATACTAGTATATATCGTTTACACAGACAAAATATAAACAGTATGATCGAAATATAGGTTATCCTGCTGTAGTAGACAGTCAACCAAAGAAGCCGGCTTTTTCGTCAATTTTTTGTGGTGCCACAAAGAGCTGGCTTTGAAACCAGTCTAAACTCCTGGTTCTTCGACTGATACATTTCTAAGCTCCACATTTTTTTGTTAAATAGAGGCAAATATGTTTGGGAGTTTTTTATAATGGATGTAAACGATATATAGATATAAATGAGTAGTGAATAAGTCGATAGTACTTGTAGATCTTATAAAATGTGGGTATAAATAAATGGTTTGATTAATTATCTATAGAAAACTTCAAATATATCTATATAGAGAGACTCTTAAAGATCATCTTGAACAATGTTTTTTATATTAAAGAACTTCTATTAATACTAGTCCATGACACGTGCGTTGCACGAGTTTTGTAATTATTTTGTGTTATTAGCGTATAATTGTTTGACAGAATAACATGGCTCTCCTCACGTCAATTTTAAGGATGAAAAAAAGTCTAGAAAAATAACAAAATAGTATATCAAGTAGCTTATGTATGACTCCCACTGTTGCATTAAAATTATGTATTACGGGCTGTTTGGCTATGGACAGATGAAGAGAAATATTATATGATAAGCAGATCCAATTTGTATATAATAAGCAGATCCAATTTGTATTATCAAACAAAAGATTTTTGTGCCATGCCATTGGAATATGTACACACCTCATGGGGGCAAAGAGAGAAATGGTTAAATGAAAGAAATTTTTAAGTTCTTTTGGCATCCCATTTCTGAGCAATTTGGCGCACGATGAGAAAATAACATTTCAAATAATATATGGTTAGATTTCTCATTTTTCTGATTATTTCGATATATTATTGAAGATGAGAGATTAGATCTCTGACATATGGGGATATTTTTCTACATTCTTCTAATTGTTTTGGCCTCTGCAAAGTGATATCATACTCTTATAAAGTGGAGTAACATAGTTCCCAGGAATCCAAGTTGTAGAACTATGCTTGCATCTTCCTAGAGGCATGGCAGGAAGAGATTATTCTTAGCCATGCAATTCAAGATTTTAGGAACATCAAATTTGTCAATGATTATGAAACAAAATGAGATCAACAAATACAATGCCCAAGAAAAATCTCAAAATCAAGCATCAATGAAGTTGAAATAATAACAAGTAGTTAACAAGAAGAGATTGGAGAGTTGTTGGCCAAAGTCTGAAATTTAGCAACCTAAACAAGAAGAATCGACAAGCCAAAATATTTTTTTATAACAACAAAAACATTTCAAATTAAATAGTACAACACACATTTGATGAGAATTGGCATTCTAGTAAAACTCCAAAAGTTTTCAAGAAGCTTTAACTAGAGAAGGGAATGAAGTTGAGATCGAGAGAGAAAAATAAATAGAGAACAAGAGATAACTAATCTGGATTTGGAGTTTGAGTTTACATAGGAGTGAGAACTCGAGCTTCTAAGAACAAAAGGGAAAAAAATGGAGCGTAGATTGAAGGGAAGATGGATGAGGTGTTGGTTGCGTGCACTCCCAGAAAGCAATAGGTTTACGATTTTCAATTTGAAAAATTAAGAACAAAAATTGAAAGTTAGATATCCCCCTGAGCACTTATCAAGTATGTCCATAATGAGGTCTCAAATAACGAGAGACGTGTAGAAAGCATCTAAAAAAGGATCAGCATCTAATAAATTCATTAACATAGATGAAAAATGAGATTTTTTTTATAAAGGAATTGATGATAAAGTAGGAATAGAGGCATCAAACGTTTGTGATTGGGCCGTTGAAATAAACTCAATGGAGTATATATATTAAGCTTTGACACCATGCAAATAAGACACGCTTAGAGAAAATGTAAGAATTTAGAATTCAAAAGGAAATGATAATTCTGAAAGAACTCCTGATTTTTATATAAGTGATCTACCAAAACATAGCCGACTCTAGATAAGAATGAGACATTCTTTGTTGCATTGATTGGTTGACCAAAAGGTAGTGCAAGTTGTTGCACAAAAAATTATATAGCTATCATTGTCTCTTAATTTTTTCTTGGCATATTCACTTTTGTTTTTCAATTCTTTCCAGCATCATACATTAATTCCTCGCATTGTCTTCGCGTCCGCACGGAGACACGGACACGGTGTCTCCGCGCGACGGAGACATTTTTTTTTTAGATGCCTGGAACCAATTTCAAATTCCAAGATATAAAAACAAATTCCTCAAAATAGAAAGACAAAATATATAATGAAGTAGTGAAAATTGCCTTCTTTTTTTCACGTAGTAATGAAAATTGGAGGACTGGACTAGAGAACTCTGGAAAAATGAATAGCAATATCTCATTGGATTACTGTTGCATCTACAGTAACCCCAATAAAAAGCATCTTGATGTCATTTTGAAAATACAGAATAAAACATTTTATACAACTTCACAATACTCTTTATATTTATTCTTTATTTTTCATTTCTCGCAATTTTTTTTTTTTTTTTACTTCCGTCTCTTTTAACTAATTATTGCCCGTGCTTGTTTCTTTATAAACTAAGGGGGTGAATTGATAGTTGCAAGATAGTGTATGAAAGCATTAAAAATATGGTACCCCTCTTTGGTTTGAATTAAAATCTCAAATCAAAGTTAACAATTAATTTTTACTACACATTTCATTAATTTTTATCGAAATTTGCTATAATAAAGATGAAAACAAGATGGGAATAAGAAAATAAATAAATCAAACAAAAGAATATCAAGACTTATGTAGAAATTCAAGATGGAAAAAACCACACATAAAGGAGAGAAATCTACTATATGAAGAAAATTATAATGAACATTGCTTTCAATATGTTTTCTATACTATACAAAGTCAATAATTTCGTGGAGCATATAACATGGTTTGCTATCTTGTAAATGTGCATAGCCTTATGAATTCAAAACTTTTACTATTATAACTAAAAGTATCTCCAAACAATCTCGTTTATTAATTATGTCAATATAAGATCAAAGTAGTCTTAATTGAACCTAATTTAAACTTTTGCTATCATAGCTTGCTTCTTTGCAATTTGGTCGTTGATGTTCTATGCCCATGCCATGTTGGTCCTTTTCAATCATTTTGCATCCCTTTGACTTCTATTCACTTCCAATTTAGTCCTAGCACTCCCACTTGTTTGTTCTTTGGTTTGAGCCAACTTTTGATTAATTATATTTTAGTCCTTGAACTTTTACTTTATTGCAATTTAGTCTTCTTTTTTTCATTTTTCCTCCAATTATGCCATTTTCATCAATTTATACCTAACAAACTAATACACATAAAATTAAGCTATAATTCACCAAAATGACCCACAAATATCACAGTTTAACGACATAGATAAGTGTACACATTCTCCTCCCAAACCCTAGGTATCAATTGAATGAATATGTATTTGTTGTCCCTCAAAGACTGTCTCCCATTTGAAGTCATGCAAACCCAGCTAAATTTCAAGTCTGGTAGCCCAATTTTGCCTTAGAAAAATTTTAGCTTGGTGGAATTTATCCAGTAAGCATCCTTGTTTCGACTTTAAAGGGGGTGCATTCAATTGAGACTTTTAAAAACTTTTTCGGATTTAAAATTTATGGGTATTCATTGTAGATTGTTGGACTCTTTAAAAGTATATGTGTATTCAATTGAGACTTTTATAAACTTTTAACAAGTTTCTAAAAGTTACAATGTATTCAATTAAAACTTTTTATAAGTCTTTTTAAGTCTTGAGATATTCAAATTTTAATGACTTTTAGAGACTCTTATAAAAGTCTCCATGGTACTAACTTTTAAATAGAAAATACTAAAATAAAATTTCAAAATTTGTCTCACATTAATATCAAGATTTTGGAAGAGACTTTCATAAATAAATAAATTTAATATGTATTTTATTTTCAATATTTCTCTTTCATTTTCCCTTTGACAAACATTAAAGTTATAACTAAAATTTATTTTTTTCTATTGATTATATTAATTTCTATTTTTCTTTTTCTCTCTTATTGTTTATTTCTATTTTTCAGGAAAAAAATTAAATTGTGTTCTTACGACTCTTTTTTTCTTTCATTTTTTTGTGAAAAATGTCCATTTTTAATTAAATTATAAAATTTTATATAGACTACTTTATAATTAAATTTAAGTATATATTTTTATTTATTCTTTAAAGGTATATTATATTAATAATATTGAATATTAAATTTATTTTTATATGTATTATTATTATTTATTTAATTAAGGTCTTAAAATTTTATTTTTTTAAATAATTTTTTATTAAATGGGTAGAGAAGGGAAATTGTGAGAACCACTACCCCGTATGTGATAATTTAACACTATTGCACTAGATCCACATGAATTCTATTTCAAATGAAAGTCTGTAAAAATCTTTTAGATTTTACAAAAGTTTATAAAAGTTTGAAAATGAAAGTCTATAAAATTCTACAAAAGACTTCCACTAATTCTATACAAATTTCTAAACACGAAATCTACAAAAGTCATCATTTAAAAAAAGTCCATCAAAGTTTTCAAAAGTCACAATTGAATACACCCCCTTAAATTTCGCCCGAACAAAATTGGCAAAATAGTCTGGCAGTCAAATGGAAACGTGAAATCGAGTTCTATAAAATGCATTTGACTCCTGATTTGATAAGCTTTTCAAAGGTATATCTTATGTTTCTAGTACAAAACCTTTGTATCTTATCTTGGTGCTCTAGTTTTTCTCCGAGTCTCACTTGAATGGCCTTCTTCTTTGTACTTTTCCTCTCAGTGCACCCTTTTTGTCTCTTTTTGCATCGTTTTGCCTTTAGGGCTCGATTCTTCACGATAGTTTAATTTTACACTTATTTAGGCAGTTAAAAATGGACGTTTGGGAGTGCTTTATGTAACTGATACTTAATTTTATTTGTACATTGCTTATTTTAGGAGAAACTCCATGTTGGATGAGTTCGTAGAAAAGCAGCAAAAATAGATAAAAAAAAGACTCAAACGTGCATATTATGGAAGATGGGGGGACCAAAGAGGCAAGATTGGAATGACAAAGAACTTCATATGCAATTAAGAAGGAACGTAAGCTGCATGGAAAAGTGAATGAAGGAACCAAAGTGGAAAGGATAAAAGAATAACACCTTGCGATTGCAACGCTTAGCAAAAACGTATGCATTTGCGATTGCATGCGGTTATACAGTGGGTCCATATAGTGCTTTCCGACAGAGAGATTTTATTTCCTTTTTAACATCATTCAAGAGGCCTAATTCACTGTTATTCATCTCGCTACGTGGAGAAGAGAGCTAGGAAGAGGAAATACACAAAATACTTCGTTCTTTCAAGATTCGGTGACTCTAAGCAAGAAAAGTTGGTATTTATTGAAGTCTCCATCGAAGGAATTCGAATGAGATAAAATTCATCTTCAATATTCTCTTTCCAACTTTATTTTTCGGGTGATGAATACTCAATTAATTATGTATTGTTGTGTGTGGGATGCCGATGTAATTCAAGACTTCTTTTTATTCTTGATTTGCGTTAATTAATTGATGTCAATGTTTAACTTCATGCTTGAATGAATGATCAACCTTTGAATGTATATGTCGTTTATTTTGTTTTAGGGAGGTACGAAGTAGGTTTATCTCACACTTAATAATCAACATAAGGTCCTATAAATGTTAGGGACGATTACTTTACGCTTTTATATAATCTATTTAGATAATCTTGTAATTGAATGCATTTTTATATATTCAAATTCGAAATAGGAATTGATTTGCGTTAATTGATTGATGTCAATGTTTAACTTCATGTTGGAATGTATATGTGGTTTATTTTATTTTGGGGAGGTACGAAGTAGGCTTATCCAGGGGCGGATTCAGGAAAAAATTGGACATGGGCTAAAACGCAAAAAAAAATTTACTAATTTTTTTTTTTTTTTTTTACTTAGGATCTGAGCTGTAGCAGAGGCTGGCCCGTCCACATTTAATAATCAACATAAGGTCCTATAAATGTTAGGGACAATTACTTTATGCTTTTATACAATCCATTTAGATAATCTTGCAATTGAATGCATTTTTATATATTCAAATTCGAAATAGGAATTTTTTAGATTGGATATAGAAAAATGTTTAACTCTATTCACGAGAGATTTGTAAATAATACATGATTATCGATTGTCAACACAAGCATAAATTGAGTTAAAAAGATAAAAGACAAAGTTGAGAATTACAACAAATACTAATGATGAAGTCGAATTCCTAGCGCGTTTTTTCACATAAATCTCTTTTTGCTCAATCTTCATTTGCATTTAGAATAGTTAGAAAAAAAAAATTGCATCCACACTTGACATTTCTTTTCTCAACAAAGTATGTTAATGACGAAAACGTCCTAATAAGCTGTTAATCAATAATGTAAGAATAAGGTCATGTTTGGGAGAAATTTTAATCAAGATTTTACTCAAAATTCTAGCCGTTAACTATCAAATCAGTCACCATTTTTGACTTTCCCTCTCACAAATGGGGCCCATAGGTTGATTATAACGGCTATAATTTTGATTAAAATCCCACAAAAATTACTCCCAAACATGCTCTAAATGTAATATTCGTAAATTTTCTCCATTCGCCCTTTCTCTTAGCTTACGTACTGCATTTTTTTTAATTAACATGAGCTTCAACTTTCAATTCCTCCTGTCCGCCACTTTATGTCGTGTCAATTCATTTTTATCAATAATGCAGTCGACAATTCGTCGACTCACTATGGGAAAATTTTTTAAGTAAATATGTGTGGATTTAACAAATCAAATCATTAAAATTTTGATATACAGTTTATTACATATGATATGTGTGAAAATCCACAGATTCACATTTCAGCAATGAACATGGCAATTTGCTTATCTTCATTCACATGCATCAAAAAGTTTTCCTATTGCCAGCTAAAATCCTTAGGGCGCACATAGTTACTTTATTATATATGTGAACATCAGTTTGAAAAACTAAACCTTTTCTTCCCTATAAAAACCCATGTCTTGCAACTAAATAATCCATTCCAAATCTCTTAATAGTTAACAGAATCAGCAGCTACAAGTTGTCAAGAATTAGGGTATTTGTGAAATGGCTTCCAATAGTAAAACATCAGTTGTCCTCTTTCTTGTCCTAAATCTTCTCTTCTTCACTCTTACTAGTGCATGTGGCACTTGCCCGGGTCCTAAACCAAAGCCTAGACCAAAGCCTAGACCAAGCCCAAACCCAAACCCGAAGCCGAGCCCGAGCCCCGGCGGCAAGGGCACATGCCCTAGGGATACCTTAAAACTAGGGGTATGTGCTGATCTTCTTGGTGGATTGCTTGGTCTTACCGTTGGGACACCACCAAAAACTCCATGCTGCTCCCTTCTCCAAGGCCTCGTCGACCTGGAGGCGGCGCTCTGCCTTTGCACCGCCATTAAAGCCAATGTTTTGGGCATTAACCTCAATATTCCTCTTTCCCTTAGCTTGCTTCTTAATGTCTGCTCCAAGAAGGTTCCACCAGGCTTCAAATGTGCCTAGACAACCTAGCTTTATACTCTTCCGTCCTCAGTCATATGAGCTTGTACTTTTAAGGTTATTGCATTCTCGTGTTTTGATAAGTTCTGGTTCCCTTGTTAGAAAATAAGAAAGAACATAAAATAAAAAGCCGTTCTTGTGTGAGAGTGGTTCTACATCTGAGGCTGTCATTTTAACTGAGGGCTGCTTTGTATTTTCGAGTTATACTTATCTTGTACCCACGTTTCATTTTATTATCGAATATCTTGTTATCTAAAATTTAAAATCATAATATCTCTCTCACGCTTATTATTAGAAATGATATTGGGTCTAACTCAACCCACTTGTTAGGGGATGATTGTCCTCACCTTATTAAGTGGATCCTGTAAATATTATCAGCCAATGTGAGACTCTAATACATTACCTCACGCACAGCGTGGACTATGCCAAACAACTGTGAACAAATCGATATTGGGTGCACCTAACATTTCAAAATTGGGCATGCTCTGATACTATATTAGAAAGGATATTGTGTCAACTCAACCTAACAAAATCGACTTGTTAAGGGATAATTACCCCACCTTATTAAGTGGATCATATATATAGAGAGAGAGAGAGAGAGAGAGAGAGAGAGAGAGAGAGAGAGAGAGAGAGAGAGA